GTTTTTTGTGAATATCTCACGAACCAGTGATTTGATTTTAACGATTTTGGTACCATTCGAATCGTCTCATCGAGAGGAATCGAATGGTATCAAAATTGTTAAATTTAGATCACTGGTTGACAAGTTATTTAGATATTTATAAAAATCATCTAAATACAATTATCTTGTGATCTAGCAGTCAAAACTCGATGATTTTGGTACCATTCGATCCGTCTCAATGAGACGAATCGAATGGTACCAAATCATCGAGTTTTAATCACTGTATCATGAGATATCATGAAATTTGCTAAGGTTATATATCTTTATAGACCTGTATTATATTTATTTTGTCGACCAATCAGAGTCATCATCTTATGTGGAGGGAGGGAGTACCCTTATAGTAAATGGATATTACGTAATATCTGTCACAGCCCTAATTATATTATATATATTTATATTTTCTTTTTTTAGATAATATTTTAAAATTTAATATATTATTATTCTATTAGCCTATAATATTAGACAGATATTATACAGATATTGTATTGATTTTGTTAATTAGTTAATCATTTTATATCTAATTTTATAATTTTGGTATTATATATCATGGCTGATTATGAAATCGGATTATTGTGAAATTTGGGATCTCAATTTGAAAATATAGGCCTTACCAAAATCTACTAATACTCTTTTATTAAAAACTCTAACCCTAAATCCTAACTCAACTATAAAAAAAAAGCCTACAAAAAAGGTCCAAAAAAATTTAAAAATCGTACATGAAATAGATCCAAATTTTACAATAATCCGATTTCATAATCAGCCATGACATTATATATATCTTTTTTATATTCTGCTATTATATTAAAAATTTTTATCATATATATCTTCATTAATATTATAGATATTATAAAAATATTTGTCTATTAAAATAGAAAACTAAACTAATCATCAAAATATTGGCTTAAATTAATTTAATAAAATAAATTTATACTAATATAATAATAATATAATATATTTAACAAAGATATTATACCAATTCTACATATCATTATATAACAATCTATATTTCAGATTAGAAATAATAACTAATAAAATCATATAAATATATTTGAAAAATATATAATATCGTATATATATCAGTATTAATAAATAATATATCAGCTATAATTTAATTTATGAATAAAAATTTATTACTTGACATATTATCTTCTAATAATATATATAATTATAAGTATATCAGTTTATATTATAGTCATATATTTATTGATAATATTGATCATTATATTAGCTTTATTTTTAGTTTATTTTTTAATATTTAATTTATAATTAAGCTATCTTTCTATAATATAAGGCTGATATTTGTATGATTTAATTAGCTAGTAAATAATCTTCTAGCTAATTATATAATATTTGTTTTTTTACATATCACCTATTAATCATCTTATTATATTAAAAAATTTTGATCTGTGACAACTAATTAATTTTGAATAGCCTAAGCTAGTATTACAAATCAGCAAAAATTTTTCAATCAATTAGTTGGTTAATTATTTTTCTAGTTAGTTGCAACTAATTGATTAATCGACGAGTTGCAACTAATCAATTAATCGATAAGTTGCAACTAATCGATTAATCAATTAATTGATTAGTTGCGACTAATTCATTAAGTAAATAAATAATTTTCAATCAATTCATTTGCAACAATCGATTAATTCTTTAGTCAATTAGTTGCAACTAATCGATTAGTCAATTAATCGATTAATCGATTAGTTAGTGTCTAAAAAGTTTAATCGATTAGTTGTCGACTAACCAACTAATCAATTTTTCAACTTTTGATTTATAACACTAGCCTAAGCATTAAAAATAAGAAGCCAATTTATTATTGTATACAAGACACTAAAAGTACAAAGAAATATGAGCATTACAAGTAAGTATCTTTTTAATAATTTACCTGGTTCTCTAAAATATCTTTCTATTTTCTAGCTACTATTCTTATTTATATATATATTATTAGACTTAAATTAGCTATATACTATTATGTAAATATAGTATAACAATATAAAAGTCTAATTAAATAACTCTGTTACTATAAGATTACAAAAAGCTTATTTACAATCATCATATTATTTTTTGTCACAGTATCCAAAATAATCTGCTAACTTCTAACTGTTTAATTTGAATAATTACAAGAATCTAGGTTTTATATTTGGAAAATTAATATTATATTTATTTCAATATCAATCCTGTTGCAACAAAAAATAATCTTTGATTGTTTTAATTTAAGGTATAGTAAGGTCTGCAATTGAATAAAAACCGTATGTTTTAATTCATCGAATTTTGTCAACTCCAATTTTTTAAATAAATTATATACAGTATTTGCTCTTTGTATTCTTTTTTATAAAGTTTGTAAATCAATATCTACAAGACGGGTCAAAAGTTCTCTATAGACTTTTGATTTTGTCTTGTTTGTAGTTATTCTAGTATTATTTAATATTTTTTTTTACTTGTTTTTCAAACCTTTCAGTATAATGATACTATGATAATATTTCAGCTTGGTTTGCGTGTATTGCACGTTCATTATTATGATTTGCTTTATTATATAGTAAAACTAAGCCTGATGTTGTATCATGTTTCTCAACAACACTTTTTGTATTATCTTTATTACTACTAATAATTTCAGATATATTATTATCATCAATAGAAGTTTTTAATTGCTTGAAAATTCTTCAAAAATTTTTATCTTTTCTTATCACAAACAAAACAGATGAAGTAGATGCTATTGATATAATAGATTCAGTATATGTAGATTCGTTATATATAGATTTAGCATATATAGGTTCAACATATATAGATTTAGTATATATAGGTTTAATAGATGTAGATTTAGTATATATAGGTTCTGATACTATAGGTGTAATAGGTACCATGGATGTAACGGATACTAAAGATATAGTAGAAGTGGATTTCAGAAATATAATAAGTGCTAAAGGTATAGTAGATGCTGTAGATATAAATATGGCAGATATTATAAGCATAGTGAGTGTAGTAGGTGCTATAAATGATATAGGTATCGTAAGCGTAGTGGGTGCTGTAGATGCTATAATAGATGATATAGGCATTATAAGCATAGTAGATATTATAGTGATAGTATCAAAGTTTTCATTATTATCTATATTCATTAAATTTTCAATTTCAACAGTCTTATTTTTAGTATTTGTCTTATTTTGACAATTAGGACAAAAAAGTTTTAAATTAACAACCTAATGGCTTATGCATTTTTTGTGAAAAAAATACTGATATATTAAAATCATAATTGATTCTTAAAGAGTTAAACTAATTATATTGTAACAAACTATGCAAGTATCTTTTCTTCTAAATTGACATATTTGGAAATTTCCTTAGATATATTCTAAAAAATAACTTTATACATAAATTTTTTCAATATTTCTATTTTTTTATAATGAAGCTTATTACAATATATATTTATGCTACTGTTAGAAAAATGTCAGATATCAGCTAATATCATAGTATAGAGAAGATAGACAAAATCTCAGGTCTAAATATACTGTATATGTATAACTAATCAGAATAACTAAATATCTCAAATATGAGTAAAGGGGTAAGCTTTATAATAAATTGATCACAGCTAATATTTGACACATCTCTTACTATTGTTTGAAAGAGCTGTTATGAGATTATCTCTTAAACTGTCCAGGTTTAGCAAGTATATTTGTCTACTAAAATAATTGGAAAAAAGATAAACCTTAAGTAAATTGTTTTTATTGAAAGACGAACTGAAATTGGCTAGGATAACTCACAAGAACCCAGATCATATGATTGTATAATTGTTACATCATTGCACATATCATGTGATACAAACAAAAAGATGTAAACCCAAATTATCTAGAAAATGGTATATTTTTATTAACAAGTATTTTGTTAGGTCAAAGCTTCTAGATCGCTTTGAAAATTTAAATATAAGTAATACAGACTTTGATAAAATAATATTGTAGAACTTATCTATAATAAAAATTTTTTTGATTTTTTTTTTTTTTTTTGATTTTTAATTAATAGTGATCAAAGATAATCACTGTACTACTAACAGTAATCACAATGTCATGTGCTACTATCACATGATATGAAATCACAAGTTGATCTGCAAAATGGCAAACTTTAATTCTAACTTAGGATAAGAGGTACTATTGCTTAGAATAATCAAGCACAATTGTATAAAATCAAAAAAAAAATTTTAGAAGGCAAATTTGCCTGCTAGACAGTTTAAGGAATAGTCTAATTTAAAATGTCTCAAACATCTTCTTTAGTGTAATTAGCTAGCTATAGAGATCATACACAAGTACTATGATTAATTAAAGTAAACCTTATAGTAATTTTGTTGAAAATTCATATTGTAAAATACAGATATTAAATTTTAGTCAATTAGCTTAACTCTATAATAAAAAAGATAGACTTTAACCATCTTTTTTTTATAGTGATAATAGACTCACTTAACCAAATAATTTATTTTCTACTAATTAAAATTGAACTCAGACCTATTGATTTAGATGCTTAAGAGCACCCTTAGTCACTGATCTCTATTGCTATATATATTTTACTTATTAAGAAAAATCAGTAGAGCAAAGGACTAAACTTTTAGAATCAAATCAAAGTATTAATTTTCAATATAGCTAGGGTATTTGAGTATATAAGCATATACCAAAAAAATTTTATTCGATTCTGGTACAATAATTCAAAAAATTGGTAAGTGGAAATAAAGTATTGATGATTGCATAAAAAGGATTTATTTTAATAAATTGCTTTTAAGATAGGCTTGAATTTAAGTAATATAATTATTAATTAAATATTTTCAGATCATATATATAATTAAAAACGCTTTTGATACTAGAGGCTATTAAAAGTTCTGTTCAGTCTAGTTTAGCTCCCAACTTTTAATTTATATATAATAATATTTAAGCAGTATAAATCTCGTAAAAACAATAATAATTGCCTATTATATGATCACATATATCTATAGTTTCTAGAAGAATACTCTATTTCTGTATAAAAAAGAATTTAAAGTCTTTAATTAGCGATAATTATTGTATACCAAAAATAAATCATTACTATTTCAACTAAATACCATACTACTTAAATTAAAAACCTATAATTATATTTGTATTTTTTGTTTTAAATATAATTATATATCAAAATTATCAACTAATTACACATATTATTTTAAAAATAATTTAATTAATCATACTGCAAATAGTATTTAATATACAGTAATTTACTATTGAAAGTAGATATAAAGTTTTGTTAGAATTGTTCTTAATAATTTTAAATCAAAAAATTGGCTAAAAATAGATAATTTATCGTTATATAGAGATTGTTACAATATTAATATGAAATTAAAAAGTTATCTTTAATTAAAAAAAATTAGTAGAGCAAAGGACTGAACTTTTAGAATCAAATCGAATTATTAATTTTTAATATAGCTAGGGTATTTGAGTATATGAACATATGCCAAAAAAATTTATTCGATTCTGCACAATAATTCAAAAATTGGTAAGTGAAAATAAAGTATTGACAATTGTATAAAAAGGGTTTATTTTCATAAATTGCTTTAAGATAAACTTGAATTTAAGTAATACTGTAATATAATTATCAATTAAATATTTTCAGATCGTATATATAATTAAAAACACTTTTAATACTAGAGGCTATTAAAAGTTCTGTTCGGTCTAGTTTAGTTTCAAAGTCAAGTTAGTAATCAAAACTTGATCCCAACTTTTGATTCATATATAATAATATTTAAGTAGTATAAATCTTGTAAAAACAATAATAATTGTCTATTATGCGACCGTATATATCTATAGTCTTTAGAAGAATACTCTATTTCCGTATAAAAGAGAATTTAAAGTCTTTAATTAGCGATAATTATTGTATACCAAAAATAAATTATTACTATTTCAACTAAATACTATACCACTTAAATTAAAAACCTATAATTATATTTATATTTTTTGTTTTAAAATAATCATATGTCAAAATTATCAACTAATTACACATTTTATCCTAAAAATAATTTGATTAATCATACTGCAAGTAGTATTTAATATACAGTAATTTACTATTAAAAGTAAATATAAAGTTTTGTTAGAATTGTTCTTGATAATTTTAAATCAAAAAATCAGCTAAGAATAGAATAATTTATTGTTATGTAGAGATTGTTACAGTATTAATATGAAATTAAAAAAGTCACCTTTAAAATAGACCTAGAATATTGTAAGCCTATAATATATAATTATATATACTGCATGATTTTGTATATATTAATCTACAATTTTAAAAAATATAAAAACTCTTATTAAATAAAATTTAAAAACAAAAAACAAAAAACAAAAAAAAAAACAAAAAATAAATATAATCAAAAAGCAAAAAAAAACCAATAAAATATTAGAATTAACCAAGATTACTGTTATCTCTCTCAAATAGTATATTGTAATTCAAGATCTTGCTTAGCTCTTAGTTACTTCCAGACCAACACTTTAACAGGCAAGTATAACATATTATATTTCGCTATCATTATTTTTTTCAGTTAAAAACTAACTAACATTTTTATTTATTTCTTTAT